TTCTTCTTCTTTTTTTTTTAAACAAATGAGATTTATGTTACACTTTCAAATCTAATCACTGTGAATAAACATAATTTTACAAATAATTCAAAATAAGAAACATGCTTTTCCTTTCATGTTTAGCCAGATATTTATCATCAGAAAATAATAAAGGACAAGGAAACTGACCTAGAGCCACATTAACAAAAAGTATCTCTCTTATCAGAACACATTAGCTTAAGTTGCTCAGTATAAACCTATGAAAACCCTGAGAATTTCATGAGTTGGTTCTCACAGATTCAAGGTAGTGCCAGTTTAAAAAGTATTCAAATACTAAGAAATCTGTTAACTGATATTAGGCAAGTATCCTTTTTTGCAATCTCAGTAATACCACCATGAGGGAGAAAGAAGACAAGAGTAAAAAGACTTCCCTCTACCTACAACGGTAAATACCACAAATTTATACTACCCACATAAGGACAATTTTAGTTTAACTGAAGTAACTTTGACTCCTAGGCAAGCTATCAAGGGTTTCCACACCACAATTAAAAAATTTGCCATGGAAATATCAATTGATCATTTTAGATCATGATTAAGAGGATTAAGGAAAATAAATCCTTAATATTAGAACAGAAAAATCCTTGTAAAAAGGAAGACAATCCTCTAAAATACTATTATCATAACTTATACTCAAGGACTCATAGAAAGTATTTAGCATGAAAAGAGTCTGTCTTATAACCAGTAATAAGATGTTGTTACAATACAGAGGAAGGAAGAAAGAACTATGTGAAGATCAAAATTTATCACTTACCTCATGATTCAGCTCTGCTATCTGATCTTTCAGTTCCCTAATGTACTGGTTAGAATCAGACTTGTTAAGCTGTCCTTGAAGCTTTCCTTCTTCTTTCTGTTTTGTGACAATACAACAAAGCAAAAACAAGATACAATTTTCACAGCATGTAATTGTCCAAGATATAGTACAGCATAAGTGTATAACCTTTAATAAGCTGAATTCTGAACAAATTAATTCTCAAATCATCTCTGAAAAATAATCCACATTGAACTATACGGAAAATTTCTAAATAATGCTTAATGGAGTTGTTCACAATAAATACAATTTACATAGTGTACCTTTTGAGGGAGTCTTAGAAATCAATAATTAAATGGGACTAGCAATGAAAAAATTACCCTAGAATTTCAAAGCCATTTGTCTAGTTATTTTTGAGGACAGATGATTCTTCATCTACACCATAAGAGATTCAATGCTTAGTCAAGAAGATGGCTAGCCTCCCACAGCTACACTGGGATTGCTTTTGTTTAGTTAACAGAGAAGGGGAAAAAAGAAAAAGTTCTCTAAATTACTCTAAAAAGGGGAAGACAGCTCTGAGTCCCTTCTGTTTAATTAAATTAGCTCAGGAATGTATGTTGGGAGTCCTAGATACAGTTGATTAAAAGGTGCTCCTAATCCTAACAGTTTCAGAAGAATGTTGGAACCATTTTTTAGGAATGTAAACTGCAAAGGGGAAGAGCTGCCTTTTTCTTATAACACTTGAAAACAAATGTGAACTCTTTATTTTTTTTTTCCTTTTTGTCTTTTTTTTTTTCGTGACCGGCAACGGATCGCAACCCTCAGTGTCGCACCTGTACCGGGCCGGGACTGGCAACGGGATCGCAACCCTCGGCGTCGCGCCTGCACCTTGCTCAGCCAGTGAGCAGCCGGTCTGTATGTGGGATCCGAACCCTCGGCGGAGCGCCGCCGCGCTCCCAAGCGGCGCACTGTAGCAGTGTGCCACCGGGCCGGCCCAAATGTGAACTCTTTAAATAAAGGGCTTATTGATGAGCAAAACCAGAATTGGTTTTTTTTTTTTTTTGCCTTTTTCGTGACCGGTAAGGGGATCGCAACCCTTGGCTTGGTGTCACCCGCACCGCGCTCAGCCAATGAGTGCACCGGCCATTCCTATATAGGATCCAAACCTGCGGCGGGAGCGTCGCTGCTCTCCCAGCGCAGCAATCTCCCAAGTGCGCCATGGGGTCGGCCCCAGAATTGTTTTTTATATCTCCAGGTTATCTATAATTAGGAAGCCCTGTGTTGATGGGTAAAATGTTAAGAAGCTCTGATCCAGAGACATCTACCAAAATTACTGATACCAGAAGAATATGGGCTTACTTTTAACAGTTGCCAATCACCAAGTTTCCTTCCATGGAGACAACCATTGTTAATAGTTTTTTAGTGTAGTCTTCCCATGATATTTTGTACAGATATAATCAAAAACATAAATACATGCACATGCGTTTTTCCCATTCTACAAACAGTATACAAGCTGCTCTGCACTTTGCTATCATCTCTCAACAATACAACTTGAAGAACATTCAATATCAGTACATATACAGCAGAAAGATATACATTCTGATTTTAGAGAGCTTTGAAGTCCCTGCAAAAGTTACCTTAGTGTTACCTGAGTACTTACAGTCTTTTAAAAGTAATTTTAAAATGTGTCTTAGGTCCTGTACAATTAATTACCTTGAGAACAATGGGTTGCAGTGAAGATCATTTTCTAATACGGAGATTCCTATTGCTCTTTCGAATCACAGTAAACATCTCTGGTTTAGTCCTCTGACTGCAGCCAAGTCCACACTCTACTTTTTTCACCCACACCCTTCCCTAACATCCTTGGCAGGAGGAAGAACTAACTAGAACTGATTCAGCAACAGAATAGGTAGCTCCCCTGCAGAGTCAGGCCCCCATTTCAACAAGACTGTTCTTCTGCATTAACTGCCCTTACTAACTCGACTGCATTCCTAACCACCCTTAAGTCTGTTCTTCAAACCCTTTCATCAAATTATTCTTATAATTCTCCCGTTTGTTGTTTTATTCTTCTTCTTTTGCAATCTGTCTTAAAAACCTTTAATTGAAATATGGCCTGCTAAAGTGGTTCAGTGTAACTAATATTTGTATAGATATAAAAGCATAACTGTAGCTTTACGGGCTTTAAAATTTTTTCTTATATATTTAAACACATGAATATGAGATACAATCATCTAAACAACAAAATGTTTTATTTAACAATTACTACATTCCAAATATGCTAGACCTCTTAAATATACAAAAAGACACCTTACGATTTTTAGCCCTAAGCCAATATTTAAGAAAAGAAAATTCTTCTTTTTAGAAATATTAGTTAGACTCAATGGCCAGAGAAAGGGCAGAACCAACAGAACAATACAAATACTAACTCAGAGTACTAATCAAACCATCTCTGAGGCTTTCCCTATTTTTTCATTTATGTGAAACAATAAAGTGCTCTTATTATTTAAACCAGTTTGAATATGAATTTCTGACATTTGCAACCAAAATAATAATAGCTAAGATATATTGAGCACATTTGAGCCCTTCTCCTTTGAGGTTCCCCCCAAAATTAACTTAAGCCCTAATGCCTGGAGCATCATTGTATATAAATGATTGAACTTAACTCCTCAAGGTAAGAGTGGATCTAGAGTGGTACTATGTACCACCCTTGGAAGAATTGAGAAAACAGTTACTCAAATCATTTTCTGTAGGACTTAATTCTCTTGTGATGCTCTGGTGGAGAAAGACTGGCACTTATAATATGCCAGGAATTGCTCTAAGCCCTTTACACATAATCATCCCAACAACCCCATTTGATAGATACTATTATTATTCCTACTTCATAGATGAGGAAACTTAAATGAAAGATTAAGTGAACTGGTTGCCTAAGGGTCACAGAGACAGTTGATGTATTTTTCACCTTAATTTACAACATTTTGAACATGAGAAACAATGAAGCAGAGTATATAGAGACTTATGCAAAGGACCAAGCAAATAGCTTTCTTGGGTTTGTTACAAAAATCTATGTTCTTATTTGAATATTTACTTTAGCCTCTGCTGATTGAAATAGGAATCACAACATATAAAGAATTAAAGATGAAATGCTACAGCCACTTCCATTTATGGCTGCAAGCTAATGACCCATATTATCAACTTATAGCTGTCCAATACTACTTACATGTACTTATGTCTGCATCTTATTATTTTTTTTTCCTTTTTGTCTTTTTTTGTGTCTGGCAACGGGTCGCAACCCTCAGTGTCGCGCCCGTACCGGACAGGGACCGGCAACGGGATCGCAACCCTCGGTGTTGCTCCCACCCCTCGCTCAGCCAGTGAGCGGGAACCGGTCTGTATGTGGGATCCGAACCCTCGGCAGGAGCACCACCGCGCTCCCAAGCAGCGCACTGTAGCAGTGCGCCACCGGGCCGGCCCTGACCCCATCCCCCTTTCTAAATGAAAAATTTTTTTTTTTTTTTTTTTTTTTTTTT